CAGGCTCGGACTGGACACCAACGCGGTATGGGTGGACGCGGGACAGATGACGACGACACGCTTGAGCGACACACAGACACAAACAAGCTCACAAGACACACAGCCAGAAAGAAAGAAAGAACGAAAACGGACAACCCAAGGGAGGGATGGGAGCCAGAAAGAAAGAAAGAAAACAGAGACGCAACCTGTTGAGTATATGACAATATGAGCGACCCAGCTCGAGGGGGTTGCTCTCGACTCTGGCCTTTTGGGTCACGTAGCCACACCTCGCCTCCTCGGTGCGAGTGGCTGCCAGTTCGACTCTGGGGAGGATCGAACATATGCTTGGAGCACTTGGAGTGCGGTCAGTAACCTCACGCCCAGGACCGGGGAGCTGAGAAGCGCACCCAGTTGGCCGGACGCTCGGTATCGGGCTACGGGCTAGAGAGCCCTGACCCCTAAGAGCTAAGTAAGGGGGGGGGGTGCGCGGTCGCAGGGCCATAACACGTCTCCGAGGGTTAGCCCCGCGTACCGGGTTTCCCCTTAACTGCAGGACGCTGCCCTCTTCCTCGAGCACTCTGCTTTCTCTTTTTGGCGCTGCTTGTCGGGGGCGCCCTTCCGCTGAAAACGGCCGGGCCCGGCCTTTGCTACTCCCCTAACACTGCGTCAGCGTGTAGCCTGTGCTATCATCGCCGATGTTTGGCCTCGAGCGTGTCGTGCGGTGGCTGCTCAAGGGCTGGTTCCGCCTCGAGCGGAAGGACGTGCGCCGCTAGAGACATCGGCTGTGTTCCCCCTGCCGCCTCCTGCCGTGCTGAGGCGCCCGCTCGCCCACAGGTTGTGGTTTCGGCCACTCGTCTCGAGCTGGCCCGGCTCGAGCTGGTGGTCGACGCGTGGAACCAGGTGCTCGGCTGGGCAGGCCTCTGCCTTGCGAGTGGCTCTGCCCGCCGGATCGCGGTGGCCATGCCGTGGGCGGCGCCCCTGCCGAGCGGCTCGCGCGTGGAGGTGCACGGGCTGCGAGCCACGCTCCAGCGCCTGCCAGTGGCCCTTCCTACGGCGGAGGACGGCCCCGCCTCCGCGGCCGCCTCTCCGGCACCTCCGCCAGCGGCGGCGATGGCGGCGGTGGCGGCGGTGGCAGGCGCAGAGGGCGGAGGAGGGGAGGGGTTGGAGGAGGGGGAGGAGGAGGTGCGTCGGATGGAGGCGAGCGGGCTGACGGCCCTCTCCTCCCTCAGCTTCCGCCTCTTGCGCGCCGTCGAGGCGAGGGACACTTCCGAGACACGTCCGAGACACGTCA